ACCATAAAAAGTTAAAAACCTTGTAACCCTCACCGACGCAGCACCACTTAACAAATGGTAAACACCACAGCGTACACTATTGAGTTATGGATGCACTTGGGAGGTTTGCTAAGCACTCAAGAAGCTAGAGTCGCTCTCGGCTATCGCCTCGAGCGACTCTTACGCTTCTTTCGTGCTTAGCAACCTCCCGCGTGCATCCATAACTCAATAGTGTACGCTGTGGTGTTTACCATTTGTTAAGTGGTGCTGCGTCGGTGAGGGTTACAAGGTTTTTAACTTTTTATGGTTGCCAATTTACTGTTTCAACCTAGTTGACTTTTGTAAAACTTTTCGACTCTAGCCATTTCGGGTAGATAGACGAACAATTAACCACCAGACTTAAAAGTTTCATAAGGAGGAAGAGTAATCTCATACTGCAATATGTTAAAAAAAAAAATCCTTATTTCTCATTAAGCTGTCTGCTTACCATAGGTTATACAGAGCTAAAGTGCTTGGCCTGAATACACGAAAACATTGATACAAGGACAAATACGGTGGAAAATTTGTGACTTGAGTTACTATCCGCGGTTTTAGTACAAGTTTCACTGTGTAAACAGATATATACAGAAACAGATAAATCGATTGGCTAATTGATTGATGATGCAGTCTTCTTCAAAATATTTTAAGAAAAGGTATGGATGTCTATCATGGTGGTAAAGGGAGCCCTAATCTTCGAGAATGAAACAGACTCCGCAAATAACTTAGTTTAGCACCATGCATGTTATCATTACACATGACCACGTGATATCATTCACATTCTAATAACAGCTTGATTGATGAGGCATCTCGCCATGAATTACTTCTCTAAATTTTGACATCCAGAATAAAGAAAAAAGTTCCACTATTATATTTCCAAGGAACAGGGAAAGAAAGCTACTGTCATGCTGATTCCATTAACGTTTGTCATAACAACTGTGATTGATAAACATATAATTATAAACAGAATGTTGTTCAGGTCACCGATTATCTTTTAGTCAGAGAATTCCAGATGTTTTTGATAAAAAAAAATTCCGCCTTTGCGCGTCATATCAGTATACAAATATGAAGCGTGAAGAGTGCATTACCAATCAATGCAAATCCTCCCCACCACAACCCAAGCTAACGTAGCCTTCAATGTCCTTCCGTTGTCCGTTTCGTAAACCACGCGAACATGCAGTTTAAAACAAAGGCACCAAAATAGGGAGCAACGTAACCCCATCAACCCAGAATCGGAGGGTTGAACTAAGATAACCTGCTGCAGCACTCTGCGATAAAAGCCCTGACACGCTCATTAATGTTGAAACAATTAGCGTAACAGGAGTTTTATCGACCGTCGGGATAGGAAATGCGATAAGGGTTTAACCTTGAATTTGATCGCTCAAGGTGGCCTTAGCTTCTATTTTGCCCTACGTGGTGCAACTCAAGCAGATTTTCTACTCAACCACGTCTCAAACTCCATTGAATGGCTCTAGTTTCGAAATTATACCACCGACATAAGAGAGATTGATTGCCACGCTAATTATAGGCATTCACCCGTCAGAGACAATTTCCGCTGAGTTGTTCCCTTCGCGCCAGCTATCTGTTATCGGAAATACGAAAAGGAAAAGACAAAGAGAATCACATCCCGTAAAATTCCTCCAGTGCTTTATCTCTACCAATCACTTCAAGTTTTTGTTGCTTTTAGATACGTTGGTCAGTCATCTTCGACAACAGAGTAGGCTGAAAGGAATTTTGGGGCGCTCTGCAATAAAATCATTGTACAAAATTGTACCGTGATAAACCACTAACGATGACTGGTGTTCCCAAGACATTCAAGCCTTACAAATTCACACCTTAAGGTGGCCACACTATTAGGAAAGTCACGAAATTTGAAGATAAGTTTACAAAAATACAACTTGAAAAAAAGAAAGAAAATAAAGCACGATCTCTCTAAAAGCCAGTTTTAAAACTTCTTGTTTCCCTTCAACCCGTACAATAACCCTCATTTCAAATAATAGGGGTACATGTAGTTGCAGTCGTGACATCATACTAGTTTGTTCGGCTTATAGTAACGTTTTATGTAAAGCAATTAGATCTTTGCGCTTACAATTCAGTAAAGTAGGTCTGCGATAGAGAGAAAAGAGGAGAGCGAATGTCATTTTCGCTAAACGGAAACTTAAAGGACACTTAAGCAGAAGACACGCAAGTTTTTCGTCTCGGTGGGAGAACTAAAGAACGATGAAAGAAAGGCCATTCTCGATATCTCGTGCACCATTGTCCATAAAAACCACGCAATTGATAAACAACGACCTACAAATAGATGACCATTACCAAAAAAAACTTACCAGGGAAAGGAGCGTAGCCATAAATACTCAACAGTAAACTGCCTTGCTTCAGATTATTTCCGTTTGTATCGCTTGGAAGGGCGCTTTTCTCCGCTGAAACGCTCATCTCTGAGCGAGGGAAAAACACTTCAATGATCACCTCAGTTCAACGCGCGTCCTTTATGCTTCTTGTTGATAAAATTCTTTGGAGACCTCACGGTGGAAAGCTCGCATGAAATCGACAGTTCGTTGCCACCGCTGACTAAAGCATATTTTCCTTTGTTGACCTTTTCAAACACTACGTGGACTCCTGCGGTAAAGTGAAACGTAACTCTCATGCATTGTTCATAGTCCGTCGACCTTTAATTGCTCATCCGACCTTCCACTACCGGTGCGTAACGTACAAATATTACACGCTCGTAGGCAAACAGAAAAGGAAACGTCAAAGTAGATTACCTGTTCTCAGCTTACACAAAACACCAAATGATTTGCGACGTAATCCCATCTAATCCGTTGAATTTTTTGGCACAATTTCACCCTGTGTGCGTTAAAAACCAACCACTTTCTTTGTGAGTAAATATACTTTGTTTCTGAGCATCCAACAGAGAGTCAGCTTCCATTGAATTTACGGTGCTATGCATTGCGACATCTCCTCAGGGGGGACTGACTCATTCATCGAAAAAATTTTGGTAAACTTACTTAATTCGGGAATACATTCTTTGTAAACTTACAAAAACATTACACGGGTGCCAAGAATTGACGTGCATGTTGTAATGTTTTTATTGGATCTTTTGAAAGCGGCGAGAGTAAATAGATCTTCAGTTGCAAGATACCGCCCAGCTTCAAAAGAGCGAATTTGATTTTTAGACGTGTGGAAATCGTTGTAAGGTGATTATCGAAGAACTGTCATTAAGAGAAAAACCCGTCTCTTGCCCGTGGTTCACTGATGTAGGAGGAAAAATATATCATGCTTTTAAAGAAACAGAAAATCGTATTTACACAACGTTCCAGCGCTGTTTGAACATGCTTTAGATTTCGCCTTACACCTTAAAATCGCGTTTATTAAAATTAATTTAAATTAAGCTTTTTAGCTTCAAGCTAAAAAAAGAGAGGAATAATGTGCATCTGAAGGGAACAACATTCTTTTGACGTAAAATGATGGAGGGTTCGTGACAGCATCCACAGTACAAAACAGCGACAAAGTTGCATAAAAGGTGCAAAGACTAAGGAATTCAATTTACGCGGGAGAGAAATATGGCAAAAATTCAACAGCGTGAACAACCACGTTGTCATGGAAACGTTTCCAACTACTTTGGATGGAGCCTGGTACCGAACTAACACCTCATGCAAAAGAACAGTACAGTGTAGTAAAACGCAAAGGAGGAATTACACCGAAAAGTGTAATGTGTTCTGAGACGTCAGTTGGTGAAAACCAGATAAGAACTTGGCGTGTAAAAAGCACGCCAACTCTTGTCTGTCGCTTGACGTTGCTTTCGCCTACCTCCACTAAGAGCTTAGAAAAGGTTATGGCTATGTTTTTTTTTTTTTTCTTACATAAAAAAAGCGCAAAATTCGTGTTGTCTGTGTTGAGTCTAAGGTAACTGACTTGACCGAACGGTTTAGTACATTGTGCATCGCACACATTTCGTCAAGGAAGAAGGAGCAACCACAGGGTCGTGTCGCTGGACATGGGAATACAACTCAATCATGACCTCATGTCTAATTACAGCCAGACCCAGAGATGTTGTGTATATATTCCACTGCATTGCCCTACAGAAAATTACCAGCCACGTCCTAATTATATTTGCTCGCTGTGTTATTGTCGCCCCCAACTAAAAACAAGCGCCACAACAACAGAATCATTTTTATCAACATCAACGTCATCAACAAAAGCGACATCGACAATAAAACAGCAATAATCAAGGGCAAAGTTATTACATCACACCAGATGCGCTTACTGTATCACAAATAAAGTAACAGAGTGATAGCCACATATGGATTTCGATATTGGATTTTTGTAAACCTTGCCCTGTTTTTGTTTTAGGAATATGGGGGTATCTTTTTCTTGCAATCAGCGTACTCAATTTGGTTTGATCGAATTTCTCTTCTTTTAAATTGATCTAACAATGGTCGTGTAAAACGTCCTCCGTTAACTATGGAAGCGATTGTCTACACCATACTAACAATGAGCAGAATCTTATCGTTGTTGCTAGGCGAGGAACAAAGATACTACATTGTATATTCCGTCAATTACACGATCAATTATTGTCTCCGCAAAAAAGGAAATTTCGCTTCACGCAAGGCATCATGCAGTCTCCGACTAGACACTGGGCTCCATTACCTGCCCTGTTCAAGAGAAGAGCCTACATTTCTCCTCGAACCGACATTATGCCAATAAACCGCGTCTTGTAAACTTTCATTATGACTTCAAACAAGCTAAGTCCCTAAACCATGCGTTTGAGCTGAAAAGTAGCAGGCTTCTATTTGAATTTCACATGGCTCATTTAGGGTCGAATCAGACGAGAAAAGCTAAAGGAATGGGGCGCTGATGGAAATTAGAGAAGGATTCATTCAAATTCTAGTGACGTACCATGATGCTCGGGGCGAGTTCCAATAATAGTCTTTGTGTACAGAGTTAGAAGTGATGATTTCTCAATGACGTAACTCAAACTTCAAATAATCGGTAAACGATGCAATGATTCGATTTGGATCCAATCAAGAAATCGTCGTTAATCAAGACGTAAACAAGACAAAAGTACAATCTTACCTCGTCGCCGAATCATCGAAGGTGTTGACGCCGTTTCATGGTAATATTAACGACTGTCATTCAAATCCTATTTAAAATTCAAATTATTCAATTCCCACGTTGGTTATACTAAGTTAAAGTTTCAGTCTTGGAAGAGATTTTCTTGTAAGCATTCTTTGAGTAATTTCCGTAAGCCTCTTATGCGATTGAGACAGTGGGTGATGTGCGATCATTGCCAACGCTGAGAACAACTGGAGGTCACTCCAATTCCAGAAAGTCAACAAGCTGTTGTTGAAAACGCCAATCAGAATGGCCCGGTTGGAATCTGGCAGGAAGTGGCGTGGCGAGAGTACGTGGTGCAGGCTGGACGTAGCATCTTAGAATGAAGGTGATGTTTTGTCTGAAAACACCTCTTGCTGAATAATTTTTATTTTTTTCGTTATATTCCACAGCGAGAGTTCCACAGAGTTAAGAAAAGGTATGTGGAAAAAGGGATAATTTATGCGAGTATTATACGTTTTTCTTGGGACCATCTGTCAAGGGAGGCATAACCTCTCATCTGAATGAAAACCACACGTAAGAAATCGTTGTAAAATTAAAAGGAGACTTTAATAAAACAAAAGTACATACTCACGTCGTCGCCGAATCATGAAAGGCATTGATGCCGTTTCATGGTAATATTAAGGACCGTCATTCAAATCCCATTTAAAATGAAATCACGCTTGTTATGATAAGTTAAACTTTCAGTCTCGCATTATTTCTAATTATTTAATCGAGATAAAAAAGAAAAAAACAAGTGATTCAATATTTCAGTTTCAGAACAAAGTTCATTTATTTCAAACCCAGAAAAGGTGGTCAAAGGAAGATTCAAGGCATTTAAGTTAAAACTCAGCCTACCAGATTATGTTCGGGAGAGATTAAAAAATCTTGGTCATGATACAGTGCTTTCTAGGGACACGCCAATGGATACAAGTAAGTTATCATTAATCATGACAGTTTTCTCTATGCTTTTCTTTTAATAATGGACCTTCAGCTGGTGATTAAATTCACCCAGCGTCAGAGAATTGAATATTTACATCGCGTTTTACCTTCATTCCCCCAAATTGAAGCAATCCTGTAAATCTGAGGAAGAAATTAAATGCTAGGAAAAGCGTTTTAATAATGGACCTCCAGCTAGTGATTAAGTTAGCCCAGGGTAATAGTACTGAATATTTACATTGCGTTTTCCTTTATTCCCTCAAATTGAAGCAATCATGTAAATCTGAGAGAAAAAGTAAACGCAGGGAAAGCAAAACTCGAGACTTTTCGAACGCTAAGCTTCTAAAAGTGCAGGTATCCTGTCAATGGTAATGAGCTCCTGATCCTGTTTATTTACAATTCTGGTTTGAGCTTTACCAAAAATAATCCGCGCTTTTAAAAAACAATGACTTACCGGCCCGTGTGTTTTTTGTACCTTGTGTGAGACAACTTGGTTCTGAAGCCTGAAAGCCCGCTATAGCTAGTCATTAGATCGCTTCTTACATGCGCACACGTTTGACACTCGTTCGCCAGTGTTATCTTGTAATTTGGGCAAGCGAGTGCTCAGTATTTTCTTAACGAAAACTGGCCGCCATCTTTGATCTTAGTAGCAGCAATAGGCTGGGAGAGAAAGAAATGTGTACCAAGGGGGTGAGCAACGTTTCGCCCCTTCCCACCCCCTCCACCTATTGTGGACTTTCACTCCAGATTAAACATGGCCGGTTAAATAAACGATCGCGCGCTTTTTAAAGTTAACTCGCCCTAATAAGACGCCGACACTGTAGGTTAGTGTTATCCTTAAGTTCTCCTTGAGACTCCTATCAACATTTGAGAGCTATTGTTTGATAAAATCTCGGCCATCGTTCTTCGTCGTACGTTTTAGAATGGCGCCTATCTGAAATTCATGTATCAGTATCGCTTGTATTTTGTTCCAGTTTCTGTACACTTTTGTCATACAAGACGTTTCCATTAGTTTCACGGCAAATTTTTCTATTAGTAAAGGTTTCCTTTGGTCAGAAGGTTATAAGCATGATCAAAAAGTTGCAGTAAATAAACAGGAACAGAAAATCAAATGCCGGAAGTGGATGGAAAATAAAAAGAGTGACCGCTGACAAGCCAATGAAAGCGGCTTTGTAGGCTCGTTTCCTCCTGGTACAAGTGCGGAGCAGCTGTTCTGCTAATTCAGGGCTCCAGTCTTTCGTAGAATTCAAGTTATCTTGGACTTTTTCATTTTTCTTTGGTTCAATAGTTTCGACGAGTCGCGAGCGTTGTGGAGGCAAATCTGGCGAGAGGGAGGAAATTATTTCAAAATTGGTTAGAGCGCTGGACTGTTCTGCGGGAGGTCGAGGTCGATGGTTCGTGTCCCGGCCGGACCAACACTCAAGGTCTTAAAAATAACTGAGGAGAATGCGCTACCTTTCTATAATATCAAGAAATGGATAAACATT